TACATTGTTGTGGATTTTTTAAAGATTTATGTTATTTTTGCATACAAGAGCTGGGGTGTAGGACAGAGGTGTGTGTGTGGGGGCTGCAGTGAGAGGATTCACCAGAGACTGTGCCATGTGGGCAGATCCCTGGCCAGGGATCGAACTTGTGCTGCAGCGGCTGCTGATAGCTTCATAGTGCTGACTTAACCCCTTGTGCCACTGGGAGGTCCCTGTTGTGCATTTTTGTACAGTGTTTTATTTCTCCTCTCAGCTGTTGTCCCCATAAAATTACCACCACTCAGACACCCATAAACCATCACCATAGACTCTTGTCTCTTCTCTTTCATTTCGATCCCTTTCCCTCCCCTGATGAATGTCTCCAATTTACAGTTTCACTGCTAGTTTTGTCTTTTTTTCCCCGATCCCTTGTATGGTTCCCCTATGTTCCTCCTATAAATGAAACTATCTGATATTTTTCTTTTTCCTTCTGACTTATTTCACTGAGCATAATCCCTTCCAGCTCCATCCATGTTTGAGCACTTAATTTATATCATCCTTTTCTCCATGAGAATCACCAGTTTAACAAGAAGGGTAAAGTGGTTGCTACCAAATTCTCTCCACACCTAATCTGTATTACACATTCAAAAAAATACAGGGGACAATGAGAGTAGATTAAGAGCAGGCAGACTCGATCTCAGCAAGGGAGAGAAAAGATTTTCCCCCAAAGTGACATTTGAACTGAAATTTTATACAAAGAGGAGGCCTTTGCTAAGAGGTAGAACAATCCAGAAGAGTAGATCCATAGGTCTGAGGCAAAGTCTTTGAAGGAAGATGATCACTGAGATGGGAGTGGAGAGAAAAAGGGAAGGAGATATTTCTAGATGTGGTTGGGGTAGGATGTAGGAAGGGGATCATGCACAGATGATACTTTTATAGGATGTCTATGCCAGCATGTCACAGGCAAATTGAACATCCAGTGTGATATTAAAACAAGATGAACTCATCGTGTCTCTATCTTAGAACTAGGTCGGTCATTCAACCATTTCAATATTATCTTGCAGGAGTGAATTTATAGATAAGCCTGTGCAAATTCTGCCATCTGATTCCCCTTAGCATTAATAGTTCTGCCTGACAAAGCCATCTGCACCGGCCTAACACTCCACTCTAAGTCTCTTACACATGAAGAGGCGTCATGATTTTTCACTGATCTGAAATTAAAATTTCCAGCCATAAAAAATATATTTAGATCCAAGGCTACATGTCACTTCTGAAATCTTGTCATTTAAATCACGTTAGGTGTTGAATGAGATATAGGTGAAATTTAACTTTCACTGCATTTTAGTCTCGATCACGGCAAATTTATAACCCAGGAGTAAATCTTGCTGTCAAGGAAAATGTCTTCACTAAATCAGATTTGTTGCCTTCCTTCTTCCTTCAATACTTTCGTAAAGTTGGATGCTCTTCAATAAAATCCAGTTGTTTCATTTCTTCCTGGCCACAAAGATTCTATTGGTGTTGCCAGGCTAGCCACTGGAAACTTTGGAATTTCCTGGAATAGGATTTTCAATATTCAATATTCAGGTTTGTTCAGCAAATGGTGCATTGACTGTATTCAAGTTCATATCAATGGGATCTAAAGCAACTGCTTGGGGCAAGGGTACCAATAAACTTTTTTGTAGCCCAGTGCCAGACACCTTTTGAAAGTAAGTCCACGAGAATCCGAGGAAACACAACATTTGACAGTTCCAACATTTCTCAAAACAATGTGTTTTTTGGCTAGTATGAGCACAACTCTTCCAGCTACTTTTGAGGCCATTCTACCTCAGTCTTTTTTGCAGATGCCTCTTCCACTAGACATCTCCTAAGTGTAAATCACCGCTTCCAATGGTGAGTTCCCTCTCAACCCAACTGTCCCTAGTCACTCTGATCAGCCATAAGGCATTCATTTCTGCATGCAGGCTAACAACTCTCAAACCTGTTTCCAGTTCTAATGTGTCTTACAAGAAACAGATCATCTAACAAACTGGTTTCTTAGATATTTCCAATTAGGTAACAAAACGCATCCCATCCTTTCCTTAGGAATCCAGTCTCATTGGTGCACTACCCTGGACCCAGGGGACACCTCAAAGCCTCCACATTCTCTCTCTCTCTTTTTTTTTAATTTAATTTATTTATTTATACAAGAACCAGGGTACAGGCCAGATACACGGGAGGATGAGAGGATTCACCAGAGACAGAGCAGGGAACAGAACAGGCAGACTGACGAATACACTGCTGAGGGGAGCAGCGGGCGAGACAGGAGAGGTTTGCTCACCATGTGGGACCCTCGCCGACCGGCCAGGATTGAACCGGCACTGCAGAGGCTGCAGATAGCTTCACAGCGCTGTGCTCAACCACCTGCGCCACCAGGGGAGACCCTCTCTCTCAATGTTCATTTAACATCCAGCGCTAAGACTACTTAACCTCATTGCCCAAATATCCCGTAAATTGGCCCACTTCCTTCCTTGGCTCCTGTTCTTGTTAGATCCAGATAAGTAACCTTCACTTTACCACATTACTTCAGAACCTCCAAACCTAATACTGCCCAAGGTGACCTCAGACTGCAGGTCTCAATCCTCCCCTACCGACCCTCCACACCACGTTCACTACCAGATTACTCTGATCACATCACTCTCCTTTGGAACACTTAAAAGGACTCCCACTTTCCTAAGGATAAAATCCAAACTCATTACTGTTATGTTCCCTGTAAAGAGCACTAGGTTTCTTTCATATCATGCTAATCTGACTTTCACTCAGTCCTTTAGCTATTCTGGCCTTTTTTTTTCCCAAATGTCATTTTTTGCCTTGAACGCGGGGTCTCAGCATGCTGTCCCTTTGTCCGAAACAGGCCTTTCTCCAGGTTCTGCTCTCCTATTCTATATTCTTTAGGTTTCAGGGAATAGGTAGCTACTCTCTGGAAGCAGTCCTTGAGCTTCTAGGCTAGGTAAGTTACTTATCTCATTTTCTTCCAGTGTTGCCTATAGGTCACCTGTTGTAATATAATTGCAATTAGGATATGAGTTATATCTTGTTCACCTAGCACATACATTGGCACATGGTCTGTGTTCAATACCCCTCTGACTATTCCAAAAGCAGGGGGTAGGGGGTGTCTGTCTAAATTCCTGCCCATTCCAGAGGTGAATAAGCCTCCACCCCACGTGAAGTCAATGGCAATGCCTTGTCTTATTTAGACTTTTGTACAATTAAACCCATTACAGACAAATGATATCCTTGCTTTTGCCTGCAAGTCAGCATTCTTCATTTCATACTGTTTGCTCTTAATTAACTCTTCATGAGCACATTTTGCGTCCAAAATTGAATTTTATGATTCATGAACCCCCAATACTCCAATGTCTCCTATGTCTCCTCAATACTCACGTGTAAGTCAACTGATTGATCATTGATGGCATTTCCAGTAAAAGCCTGGTTCCTTTTACCCGTAACTATGAAACATTCTCAAGCTAACTAATACGCATCTAACCACAATTCTACAATAAATCCCTAGGCTGGTAGTCATAATTTATAGAAAATCTGTATTATCTATTTAAAAATTTAAATTAGTCTACTGTGCATTTCATCCTCCTACCTACCTTTAATAGTTACCTAAAGCAATATTTCAATTAGACTATTTATATAAGCCACTTATTTAAGAGACTTTTGATAGACTAACATTAAGTTGCTGCCAGACAAATACAAATAAGAGGAAGTTTTTTTTTTGTTTTTTTTTTCTTTTTCTTTTTTTTTTTTTAATAGAGGCATGTTTATTTATTTATTTGTTTGTTTGTTTTTTGTTAATACATGCACTGGGTACAGTCAGAAGCGCGGGAGGGTGAGAGAATTCACCAGAGCCAGAGCGGGGAGCAGAGCAGGCAGAAGGACTGAAGTACACTGCTGAGGGGAGCAGCGGGCGGCAGGAGAGGTCTGCGCGCCATGTGGGACCCTCCTCCGGTGGCCGGGGAGCAGCCGGGGATCGAACCGGCGCTGCAGAGGCTGCGGGCAGCTTCGCAACCCAGTGCTCAACCGCTGCGCCACCGGGGAGGCCCTAAGAGGAAGTTTTTAAAGAATAAACTAAACTTTTTGTTTGGTACTGTGTCAATATGGACTTGAAAGAAATACAGGAAGTGACTTAAGTTAGAAAACATAAGGGAATTTGTTCCATCATTTTAGAGCTATATGTGCATCTATAATATCTATCTGCACAAAGTTAAACCTGTGTTTGGATACCCATGATTTCACTAAAAGCCTCATGCAATTTAAAACTTGAGTAACTCAGAATACACAAATGATAGAGGCAAATTGTAAACAATATATTTACTCATCAAACCCATATCCTTGAACAGAACATAAGCATAATGATGAAAGCAATTTATGAAGTCATTCAACCAGAGCCAGAAAATGCAAGTTGGGAAATCAGATTGGACACTGCCCTGTGACAGGTGGAAGAAGGCCAGGCAATAGGAAATGCACTGTTATTTTAGGACTGTTACTCTTGCATGATATTCATAGCTCACATTTTATTGTCAACTATAATAAGAAGTTTTAAAGAAATGCAAAGTTTTATGAAGACCTGATATCACCAAATAAACAGAAGCAGATATATCTCTGTGCATATATTTTCCCTTTTTCTCCCCTTCTGTTAGTGCAGTCAGAATGGGTAATGGCTGGCTGGAAGTAAGAAGGGGTTTGAAGGTCATTCACATTGTAGTCAATTTGCCTTAGATTTTAATTTATGTGTTTTGAAAATGTGGACAGCATCCAGATGGTAAGTTTTCCAATAGACATGGATAAATTAATAAATAAATAACTCAGGCATCCTTTCAGAGGACATGCTGCTATTCTGACTCGTTCATAAATAATATCTAGTGTTTTAGCAGTTTTTAAGGGCGTGCTAGGAATGTGAATCAAGCTAGGACACCCCTCATCACCTCTTTATAATGAGTCCATCTTGAAATAATAGACACCTTTCTCTTCTGTTCTAGGAAGCAAATTGGAAGCTTCTGAAAATAGAAGATGGATTTCTGAGAATGAGGTAAGCAGTGTTTCCAAATGGACTCTAACCCAGACCTATGTCAGTCACGCTTGCTAAGAATACCAAATTGTTTCCACGTATCCAGTGGAGAGTTTTGCAAGACCACTCTTGAGATTTGATGCTAACTCAGCTGCAAAAGCCTTTTGGGGAGAAAAATGAAAAAATTCCTAGTGGATGAGATAGGGACATTTTGGAGACTCTGCCAGCCCTGTTTTTTCTGGACACATGCACATGGAAAAGCACAGAAACAGGCCTGGTCTGCCATATTTGTCCTGTTCTCCAGGGCTACAGGCAAGTAGAGCAGGTATGACTACCTGACCCACACTGGACCATTCAGGTCATCTTTCCTAGCTAGGTCTTTGTCACGAGTACCAATGCACTGTCAATGAATATCAATCCTTAATCGACAAGCTTAAGAAGTATTGGGAACAAGAATGCATCACACCCATCAAGAGAACCTGCTTACAGTCCAGGATACAAAAGAAGCAGCCAGGAAGACACAAACAGAAACTTGAATATGTGAAAAATGACCCTTGTTCACTCTCCAACCACTTTCTAGCCCTATTAATGCCCTTGAGTTCCACGAGACATTCCAACATCTGTCTAATAAACTACTATCCTTTTATGTTTAAGCTGACGTGAATGGGCTTCTCTTCTCCGCAACTCACGAGTGCTAATAACAAAGCCACAGTAAATGACAATGTTCTGCTTTCAATTGTGACATGACATCCTTGATGGCTACCAGGCAACATAATATGGCGGTGAGGCTTGATAGTAAGGTATGTGCTTATTTGGAAATGCAATCATCGTACCTCAGCACTCCTGTTCCTCTGTTTGAACTAAACAATTTTCTTCTGACTGAAATAACAACAGGATTTAATGAAACCACATATTTCATAATGTGTTTGGTCATGCATTTCAGTTTTGTTTGGAATCAGAATCACTTCTCTCCCAGAATATGACAAATTAAACTATTAAAAATGTATAGGCAGTAATTAGTATATCGTTGCCAGAAATGCAAGAATATTTTCGAGTATAATGTGGATGTCACCACAGAAAGTGCATTGTGGAAAAAAAAAACTCTTCATAATAAAAAAAAAAATGCTTATCTTTAAGCAGGATATTAAAAGGGTATCTTTAAAAGTGGTTCTCCTTTCTATGCAGACTCTTTTGCTCCACTTCAGGACAAAGAACATGCAGATTCTGACTTCCAGTAAACCACTGTCTTATCCTTTCAGTAATTAATGGATGCTTTGATACCAAGGAATCTAAAGAACATTTTTCAAGCCTTAAATGCAGGCTGGGCTGATTCACACATAGCACATCTAAAAAGATCTGGGGAATAAATAATCACGAGTTGCAAACACTTGCCCAGAGCATTTGGGCACCAACCAGATTTTTAACAAGGGATGTGATTTTTTATTATAACAAGGAAAATTACTTACTGAAACATAAAAATGTGCCTCTCTTCTAAACCCTTGTCCTTGGATGTCCTAACCCCTGGCCTTGTCCTGCAGATGCACGTGTACGTTTCCTGGGTGATCATTCAGTAAACCCTTTTTCAAAAGAAAAAAAAATATCACATAGGCTCTGGGGCACATCTTTTGATGGATTTGGGAAACTGCACTGATGAAGAAAGTTTATATCTTTGGTTAGGCTCCTGACTTGGTTAAAATCTGATTAAGCCAGCCTACAGGTAAAATTTTGTCAGCTGCTGGGCTTAAAATATGAGTCGTGTTCAAAAATATTTGGAGCGGTTTGATTTAGCATGGCGTTGAGACTTTTTTCTTGTAAGGGACAAATTATATTTAAGCATTCGCATTCAACCAGGATGCTGAACATCTAAGACTGGCTGCTGAATGGGGTATTTGAGAGCTGATTTACTCTGACTTAAGTCCATGGAGTAGAAACTGCATTTTTCAGGGGAGGGTATGGCGGTGGGAGTAGGCGTGCTGAGTTGAATTATAATAGAAGTGAAGCTACAGTAACCTCATATGGCCACAATCAGACTAGCATGTAGGCAGGGGAGGTCAGTTTATGGAGGACTGTACTGGGGACAGTTAGGGTACTAGATGGAATACAGACTTCCTAGCTCTCGTAATCTTTTTCAGAGATAGATCTGTCTTCCAGGCAGAACTTCTCTGCCCTATTAATTAGTTATTTTTAAATATTTGATAGAAAAATCATTTTGGCTGAATACAATGAGCTGCATCCCCAATATGCCTGATTCTTTAGCCACCAGGGAGAAAAACACTATGAAAAAAGGAAATAATGAAACAGAACTTTTTACAAGGAAGGGGTATTTTTCCTCAAGAGAATATTATACCTATGCTGACTCTAAGTGATTAATCTAAGAGTCTTGTTTTGACTCAGAAATAGTCACAATACTACTAAGAACAGAAAGTAGTATAATTCTTACCAATTATTTGCCCATATGTCAGGCATTCTGCCAAGAGCTAGCAACAGGTATTTGTTTGGCTTTATACAATGAACTTCTAACTAGAAATTTTATTTTCACTTTTCAAATGAGAAAACTGAGGGTTGCTGAACTCATCACATTTGTGCCAGTTGGAGCAAAGGGCTGGCACACATCTGAGTTCAAACTTTCTATACTTACTCACCGTGTTAATCTTTGTGCAGCTCAGATGAGCCCCCGTGGTAAGCTTAACATTTTACTGAGCTACACAAAAGTCAAGATGCAAACAACATAAGGACTTTAGCTAGTAAACAAATAACATGAACAAGAAATTAATGCAAAAGAAAAATTTTAATATGAAAAAGATCACATTTTTGATCTTTAAGCTTTAAGTTTCTGAAAATCCAAGAAAGGCAAGATTAATCAAAAGGTCATTATTTAATACAGTCATCATCAAACCCTTGTATGGGATTAAAGTGCTTCAGTCTATAAGATCAATTCCATTATGGCTATTTATGCAGTGACACTAGCAAATCTATGAGAAACAAACTAGCTTCACTTATACCATTGATTACCAAGCCTTAAGACAGATGGTATTGCATACTTTAATGCATGGGTTGCAAAATCATTTTTCTCTTTAATAACATACCCTTTATTGAAAAAGAAATCATTTAAGCATCATGATAATAAAACACTGCAATTTCTATTAACCTTTTGAAAAAGTTGTGATTAGAAATGTATCGGTAAAATATGAGAAAGGATATAAAAATGATTTTGTCTTCTAAAAGCCAATATTTGAGGAATGCACTGTTTGAGGTTTTCTCCTATGACTCTGATAAAAATTAGGTGAATATTGAACTATACATAGTCCATTTGAAAAATATATTTCTAAACAGATCAGTTTTTATTATACCTTTATACCAAGGCATTTATCATCTTTATACTAGTTCCAAAAATTGTTGTTCTGAAACACGGTGATTTTTAGGGATAGTAAGGCACTTGAGGGTAAGCCTATTTGAAAAATTGAGGTCATATGAAAAGAATCCAAAGGGGAAAAATTCCTCTGTAATGGTTACATTTTGTATTTGTCAGGAAAATAAAATCCTGGATCCCCGTTGAAGTCCTAACAATTTAAAAGCAAATCATCTCAACTCAAAAATAATAGAAAATTTGGTTACTGTAATCAAACAAAAATAGTCATCATCAAAAGAACAGGAAAATGATTTCCCATCATATCGAATTGAGAATTCCTAAAAAATAACTGTAGCTAGAGAACACACACATCCTTGGAGTCCTTCCTTGTCCTTCTGCCAAGGTTGCAAAACTAAATTCTTAAACTCCAAAGCAAAATGTAAAGCAAAGTTCCCCATAGTAACATTAGTACATCTGCTTCAAGATATGTGTGTTGCTATATATATGCATTCAGACCTATAATTTTTTTTTTTTACAATAAGTTCTTCTCTTAAGTGCAGAGGTGGGTAGTGACAGCTAAGACACCACATATTAAAAATTTTTAGTGCTTCATCCCACTCCCTGTTACAGTGTCTAACTCTGACTTCACTGCCCACATATGAAAACCTTCTGGTCTAACTCTCAGTCTATTACATAAACATCTCCCTTCCAATGGGGTCACAGCATGACATTCACACTCCAGAAGATAAATATCATGCTAATAAACAAAAAATCACTAAGATTAGGTAAAAATGACACAGGTAGCAAACTGCTTTTAAAGACAGTACTATTACAAGTGTGGTGAGTAATTTACCATTATCTGATACTGGCAAATTTGAATCTCATGTCAAAAAAAATGCAAAACAAATAGCTATTTATGATTCTACATGCATTAACATGAATTGAGGTCTAGGGCATTTATCAAATCTACTGAATTTAAATTCATGAATTAGTTGATCAGTGTTTATCAGATAAAGTGTTAAGGGTAAGAAAGGGAAGACTTGCATATAAAACATTTTCCTTTCTTTCTTAAAATATTCACCATATAAAGGGTAACTAGTGGTGAAATGGCCAAAAATGATTTCACAGAGAAATGAATAAACTGGAAAATCCACACAAGGCTAATGAAACTCAGATCAACTCTGATTTGAGTGGACTTTCCATTCCATCTCTGTTTAAATGCAGGTAGCTACCTAAGTTAGATGGAATGAAAAACCAAGTTCACTTAAATGATAGTAACAGAGCCAAATGTTCTTTTGAAGTTGCCTGACATTAAAAATTATGTGATATTTCCTTTTTCTAGTGAAAAACCACAAAGAAAAAAATATTTGACTTTGGTCATAGGCACTGATAAAATAAATTATATCATGGAAAAATGGAGAGATGGGAAATAAGTAATAGTATCTTGAGAGAGAAAGAAATTCATTCATTACTACCACCAGCTTGAGTTAAATCAAAGTACTGAATTAAGGCAAAAAAGGACTTGGAAAAGAGTTATCTAGAAAGAGTTGGTAACACTCAACAGATCCTCTCAAGAGCCTATTTCTTTCATCTTTCCAGTATTGACCAAAGTCAGACTTCTTAGAACCTCTTCATGTCTGAGCAAACAATTATGATATGTCATAAGATAAGCTTTTCCGTGAAAAGTATTCCTCTACAGGGATACAGTTAATAATGCCAAAAAATGAAGGATTATTACATAGCAATTTGTAATCTTGTTATTATTTTGATAAGCCTTACATTCATCCAGGGTTTACTATCTTAAACACTGACAACTAGCATCTTCTTTAACATTTGCCATAGACCAGGAAAGTAGATTTTAACCTCTTCTAGGCAAGACCTGACATTTCCCATGGTGGCCCTGGGGTCTCACAACAGTTTCCCTTGGTTTCCATACCAGCCCCAAAATTAAGAAGGGCAGATTTTGGAAAATTCAGAAAGATTCTGGTCATTTTTGGTACATGTACCTGGAAATGATTTTTGTTTGTTTATATCTAGAACCAAACAAGAATGATGATGGGGCAGGGAAGCTATATATATATTCAAAAATAGTACCTGGAGAAATGCATAGCAGTAGGAAATATTCCAAACCAGATGGCACACTTGTTACTAACTGCAGAAGAAACTTGGTTGGAGAGAGATGTACAGAGAAATGGAAGAAAAAGGTGTTGGCAACAATTTCGCTGCCGGTGGCCGGGGGAACAATATTTGCACTAGTAGTACAATGAACATGTGAGGTGAACCTCATCACAGTTCTGTTTTTGATCAATTTCATCTTCAGTCAAGGTAAAGTTCTGATTTCCTGATGTTTTCATAGGAACTGTGAAGGTAAAACCCACAACACCTGCTCATTTATTTATAGCTAAGGTTGATTCAAGGTTGTGTGTAAATATTACATAGAGGTATAATTTA